AGTTTGTAAAATTAACATAGTAATCATTACCTTCGTTCTGATATCTTTGGTATCTCTGCAGTTAGTATTTTTCTCTCTGGTATCTAGTCGCACTAGGAGTTGGAAATAATAATGAAAGAAGAGTCCCTTCGTCCTGATACGAGCGACATGTGGAAGTTGATTGAAGGAAAAGATGGGAATTATGTGTAACGAAGAACCAGTTGACAGACAATTAACTGACAGGTATAATCGATTTCGGTGCGTAGCTGTTAATGAGGCACTGTGTTTCTTTTCATTTTCTTCTTCGTTGCGCGCCTCGCTCAGCACTACTATTTCCGAGGCTTCTTTCTCTCTTGCTCGACGACACTCGACTCGTCCCCTCAGAAGCGCGATATACGAATCGCAAAGCCGCGCACGATGTTACGCGTGTGAAGATCAATGAATCCCTGTGAAACACGCGTACGTTCTTTTGCGTAGTTGCACGTACCGCGAGAATTTACGGAACGGTTCAACTGGAGACGAGAGAGTAACATAAGTAAAAACATGTACACTACCGTCCTTTTTTTCATCCGATGATGAATGTCACGAGTCAAGGCGGATTGTAAAGCACGAACCTGATTGCGGGGCGGCCCGGCGAATTATGGCTCTCTTTACGCTTTCGGCGGCTGCTCCGTTCCCTCTACTGCTCATGCCCACCTCCTCATCACCCCTCTGTACACTTCTGTGCTCTCATATGATCCCCACTCGTAGAAATCCGCCCCACCGCGAACTACCATTAGGTCCGTAGCTGATATCTCCCCCACCACAAGACTGAGGGAGAGAGAGAGAGAGAGAGAGAGAGAGAGAAAGAGAGAGAGAGAGAGAGAGAGAGAGAAAGAGAGAAGGTGGAGATTCAGAACGTTGGCACCTTGCGGCGTAACTTGGGGATGTTGATCGCTGAAGCAACGCGCGAGCGTACTTTACGTCTTCCGGTTGCGAGATTTTAGCGTAAGAATAATTTTTGATGCGTCGCGGAAGTCGCCATTCCATCTGGCAGGAAGTTTCTATTTTGTCATGGGAATTCTTTTCATTTACCGCGTCATCTGATAAATCTCTGGTGCCAAGATCAATCATTTTTAAAGCAAAAAATTATGATGGAGCTTTAAATTTGAAAAATAAAAATGTCAATTAATTTTATGTAGATAATATTTTGACATATTATCACAAATTTTTATTCTTTCTTTAGAATTGCGCAGTTTTAATTCTTTATTAGAATTAGATTTTATTAGAAAAATCTACGTTTGATATATAACAAAGCTAGTATATAATTATTATATTATATAGATATATAATAAAGATAGTATATAATTTCTATTATGTGGAACTACAAGGAAATATTTAGGGAAAATAAAATCTTAAAGATACATTGCTTAATTAATCAAAATAATTTTATTCAATTACAAAGAGAAAATAGTACTTAGATAGAGAAAATAGAACTACGATTTCGTTAAATAAAAATTTATATGTATAGTAATGAAAATATTATATTATAATTATAATGTTACTCCAATTTTTCACTCCATACAATTAACTAATTGATCCCAGTTACCAGATTTAACGTTGTTACTTCCATAAATTTTTAGTATCAGCACGAATCCGTCTTTATTTTCGGAACGACTAAAGCGTGGATCAGGAAGATATGGATATTATAGTTCTTACTGAGATATTTCTGTGCTAGATTCGAGACGACGAAAATAAGTAACTTATAAAGACACCTTTAATGTCAAAGTTTCGGAATAGTAAGTAATCGATATCGGCAACGAGAATATTTTCTCAGAATTAGCAATCATGTTCTTAAGACAAATTCTTTAGGTAAACACATCATTTGCTGTGATTTTTTTTTTCATTTTGAAAATAATAGAATTTTTACAAACTTTCTGTATCAAAATTCAGAATGAAGTTGATAATATAAATAATACAAATTAAACACAACGCTAATTAATTATTTCTACATATTTTCTTCTCTCTCTCTATATATATATATA